ATACACCCTCCAGTCTTGAATTCTGCATTTAGTACTCCGAAATTCATGGTACTAAATGAATTTTGGGATACACAGCAGAGACCTACAGGTATTTCTTCCTTTCTTTCAATGAGATCAGATTTTTCCTAGCATCTTCAGTCTCCTTCTCCCACATGCTATCAGAAAAAAAAAAAGTAGAGTCTATCTTGAGTACTAAATTACATGGAATTTCATTTTGGAAAAAATAAGGGGGAAATGGGGCTGGGATTGACATACTTTAGATATATTTACTTTTCAGATTTAAGATTCAAAATAGACGTCTTCTATGTTTAAAAAAAAAAAAAAGAGGGGAAAAAGGAACTAAGGATGTACTGAAATTATGACTGCAGGCAAAATATAGCTTTTAAGAGCAAAAACCCCAGAATTTTGAAAGCGAATGTGTCAGTTTCTGCATTTAATTTACCCCAGGCTATTTAAACTATAAGCCCGCAGAATTCTGAATGCATATGGTACAAAGATAATAGTGGTCTTGTCATTAGCATTAGTCATTAGCACTGACTCTAAGTCAGGTTAATCACAACTCAGAGAAAAACCTTATCCTGGATCTTAGCAGAACTGAACAAAGAGTACCTTGGTAGCCACTGAAAAAGTGAATTTACTTTCAAGATCAGTATGCCCTCAGAGTCTTCGGTGCTTATTAAAAATGAGATATTCTTTACTAGCAGCTATCATGGAACTATTAGCAAAAAAATGAGAACTGAGCACCACATTACCAAGGAGTATTTAAACTTTTACATCTAATAAATGAATGTATGCAGAAATTAGTATTTTAAATACTTAATGAAACTGAGAGACGGCTTTCAGAAAGAAGATAATTTTTTGTGTTTGTTTAGCAATATAAACTTATTGTCAATATTACCTTAAAACCGTTCCATCTTCTGCGAGTTTCAGGAAATTTCCTTCTTCAATGTCCAACACCAAACCTTTACAACTAAGAATAATTTTATTTTAAGAAAGAAACAAACAATTAATGTTTTCAGAGCAATGCCTTGTTAGAGATCAGAATAGTGACATGCAGCTACAGAAGGTATACAATGATGCTACACAAAAGCAGCAAAGTCACAACCCTTCAAACACTTCCACGTTCAAAAAATGCTCTATATATGCAAATACATATTAGTACAGCGAGGACTGCATTTCACTTACATAGCAAATTCCTACTAAATAAATCCAGTTCCATTGTTCAGTGAGTTCAGTGACTATTCATATAGATAAGGTTAGAGGATTAAGGTCCAAACATATACAACTAAGACGTGATATTTAAGCCACTTCTATTAAAGAAATATATTCTACTTATTATTACTAGACTGATAACACCAGTTACTAAGGGAGAGAGGGGTAGAGTGTCATTTTAAATGAGGCAACTGAATATCCAAGGAACGCGTGAAGCAGAAGCGCTGCCATGCTAGGCATCACTAACAGGGTGAAGAGTTGACAGCGCAGGACAGACATGCAGCAAGAGTTCCTAACTCTCCTAGTAGATCTGTACCATACAGATAACTGAATCTACCTTTGCTTAGGCTGTTTGAAAAATTAATTCAGATTTCAGTGGCTAGGATAATAATGAATAAACAAGACCGAAAAAGTAATGCCACCTTGATCCTCTGTTATAAGGCACACAAAGGAAAGACATGCCACGAAGGCAGCAAGCAGACCCCAGCCTTTCATGAATCACACCTGGGGAAGTAGCACGGACACGCTGGCTACCAGCACTGTGGGCTTGCAGATCCACATTAATGAACCCCCAGCTCCAATAATAAGGGACTGAGGCCTAGATATCGAGAGCTTAACAAAGGATTCCATCCATCAGAGGCCTCAAAATAGGAGAAATACAGATACATTGCTGGTCACATGGAAGTTGAAATCAATCTGGTTGGAAACTGTCCAGTCAAATACTGAATTGTAAAAGCAACTGATCAAACTGTTCCCACAATAACGTATCCATTACTTCAAACAAACAAACAAACCCAAAACTGTGTTTCTACTAAAAAATTTAGTGATTACCTGCCCTTCAAGCCCCCCCCCCACCTAGATAATAACCTATTAAAGTTGGAAGGTCAGAGATTCACGTTTAAGCTCCTGCTCAGAGACCAGTAAGCTCCGAGCAGCAACTTGCATTTCAGCCTTTTGCATCACAGCTTTGTGCCTGATGTGCCACCCAAGGGCCACCTCCTTGCACTTTCCTCCGTTCCTCAGAAGCTTCTTGGGATTATTCTGCTTTACACAAACAAAACCACGTCTGTCCATACAGAAATTACTAAATTCTGATGCTTACTGCATTTACAAGTTGAATTGAAGGTAGAAGACAAAGGAGATGTACAAACTAAGAGAGTAAGTCAGAATAAAAGGCTTGTCTAGACAGCTAGAAGCACAGACAAAGCAAGCTTGGATGCTCAGTTCTCTCTTCAAAATACCACATTAGAAGTATCTCATGACAAATACTTGTTCAAACAAGTATTGAAAACTGTAATTTTGGATTTATCTATTGGGCTTGGCAATTTTAACAACAATTGCCTAATAAGAGAAGCTGTTTTCCAAGCTTTGCAAAAGTTACAGCGTTAAGGAAGTTATGAAGAAAGTTTCTGTTATTTCCAACATACTCACCAGAAGTCTAAGCTGTCTGGAGCTAAAGTCAGCAAGTCTTTGTCATAACCCTTCTCCGTTACCAGATACTGGGCAAAACTATCATATATTAACTGCAAATGAAAAAAGAAATGCATTAATTACATTGATTAAGTGAGACCAAAGATACTGCTTCCCTGGAAAGTGGCAAGACGTGAGTGTTAGTGCTTCCTAAGCAAAATCAAACCAGGGACCCAGGGGCCCTGCCCCACTGCCTCCACTACTGGGAAAAAGTGCCCGAGGGTAGTGTTGCCATGGCTGGAAAACAGCTCAAGACGCTGCCCTCAGCAGTTCTGGTGCAATGTGTCCAGCAGAACCACATTTACAGCATTCTACCTGACTGCCCCTGTGCTTCAAGACTGTTGGGAAACCAAGGTGGCAAGAACCTAAAACCAGTCACTATTCTTCCCTCCCCAATCTTTTTTTGATTTTAAATGTTAAGTGTCACCAAGACTCAACAAGTGTCTCCTGAACCAAACCAACTACCCTTAGGGGACACTTTAAAAGAATCCAAAGGAACATAATTTTGAAGAAAACAAGTAACTACTAAGTACATCGTTACTATTTATAAGTTCAGAAAGAACACACCAGTCAGTGATTTATGAATGCACTGGCAAAGTTGTACAGGAAGATCTACACAGGAAGATCTACATAGATGCTGCCAGGTCCTTAAAGACCATACAAAAATAGCAAGTGCTCCCTTTTTCTCATGATTCTTTCATTAAAGCTGTTCCCTGGCCTTTTTTTCTTAATTACAAAAGCTGCTCTTGAAATGAGTATGAATAATGTCTGAGAAAGACTAATATGAAGGCCAACACTGAAAGAACAAGAACTAAGTGCATCTTCAGCTGTGCCTGTCAGCATTTTAAAGTATTTTTTATTTCCAATAGATAAGGATGTACTCAAATGAGTATGTGTCAGTCTGTATCCTGCGAGCAGATGAAGAGTGAACCAAGTTTAGTAAATGTTTTTGGTTTTTTCTCTATTTTGTTCACTAGTCTTTTCTTTTTTTTTAAAAAAAAAAAAAAAAAACAACTCCTCTAGTTATCAACTGTCTAACATCTGCCTTCATCAGACAAAATTCTTATCAGGAAGCACATGCCTGTGCAAGACGTAATGTGCATGGTGCAACAGCAAGGACATGGAAGGCAAGCCTAGAGCTGTGCAGTCTCCAGCAGGAACTTGAGAGCACATACATTTTATAACTTACTACTGTTGAACCCTCTTCTGTAAGAAAGATGCCTCTCTACAGAACGTCACTCACAGCTGAAGGAAGCAATGCAGTTTTTCAACACAGGACGCACCGAACCACACATATTTATAAAAGGGGCACCTCATAAACCTTAGTTTCTGTACCAAATTCTGAAGAATCTTGCGACTAGCGTATGAGTCCTGTGCAGTGCAAAACGTACTCAAGGTGAATGGAGGCAAAGAAAAGGGGAGCGGGGGACACGGCGAGCGCCCGCGACA